AGCATCAACATATTTTAAATGTTTCTCGGGCGTTATTGTTTCAAGCTGATTTACCCATCGATTTTTGGGAAGAAAGTGTGCTTACAGCGGTCCATTTGATTAATAGAACACCATCCAAAATTCTTTCAGGCAGTACACCACATGAGTTATTATTATATGGAGTGGTCCCAAATTATGAACACTTGAAAAATTTTGGATGTTTGTGTTTTGCTAATGTCAGACCAAAGCCTACGGATAAATTTACATCTCGATCTCGCAAATGTCTGTTTGTAGGATATCCTACTGATCAAAAAGGGTGGAGAGTATATGATTTAGAAAATAGAGAATTTTTAGTATGCAGGGATGTCAAATTTTATGAAGAAATTTTTCCTTTATCATCACATGTTGCACCAAAAAATGCGCCTGCATTATCCTTGCTGCCTCCTTCTATTCAGGTCACGGGTGAAGATGCGTCCAATAATATGTTGTCCGCCCATGATAATGCTTATACACCTGCAATTGAATACTATGCAGAAGGCGCCGATCAAGTACTTACACCTGTATCACATGTAGACGACAGGGGGAGTAATATTTACGTAGACGCCGAACAAATTCATGCTCCCGAATCTCATGCAGGCGACATCCACGCTGAACAAATGGCTGCACCCGAATCCTATACAGGAGACGTTAATGCAGATACGTCACGCACTTTAACGGTGCAATCCAGAGCACCAATTCCTGTGCCATGCTCTTCACGGTCGCAACCAGTTGAGGGCCAAAGTCAGCGATCACGGAAAACTCCAACATACCTTCAAGATTATGAATGCAATGCTATTGAAACACATAAATCTCTTCCTGCTCTTCCAATCAGTCACTCCTCACATGCAAGGTCTGGTATTAAATATCCATTATGTAATTCTCTTAGTTTATCTAAATTCTCTCCATCCCATCGTGCGTTTGTAGCAGCTATTGATGCAGGATGTGAGCCTCGCCATTTCAGAGAAGCCATGCAGAATTCAAAATGGGTCGAAGCTATGAGAAAAGATATCACTGCACTAGAGGATAATGGGACATGGGTTGTCACGATTTTGCCACCGAATAGAAGAGCATTACCTAGCAAATGGGTTTTCAAAATAAAATATCATTCTGATGCAACCGTGGAAAGATACAAGGCACGGTTAGTTATTGCAGGTAACCATCAGATAGAAGGCGAAGACTATGGTTAGACTTATGTGCCTATTGCGAAAATGACAAGCGTTAGAACTCTCTTTGCAGTTTCCGCAGCTAAGCAGTGGGAACTACATCAACTAGACGTGCATATGTTTTCCTAAATGGAGAGCTTAGTGAAGAGGTGTATATGAAATTTCCTCCAGGATTTAGCAATTGAACAAAAGATCAAGTCTGCCGTTTGAAAAAGTCACTCTACGGTTTGAGACAATCTCCAAGAAACTGGTTTAGTAAATTGAGCTCCTCACTTATGAAATACGGTTTCCAACAATCTCATGCTGATTATACCTTGTTCACATTCCAAAGAGGTGATATTTTTCTTGCTCTCCTGGTTTACGTTGATGATATAGTGTTGGCAAGAAATAATACTCAAGCATGCACTCAAGTCAAGGAATATTTAAACAAGTGTTTTAAAATCAAGGATTTGGGCAGGTTGAAATACTTCCTTGGGATTGAGATAGCCCGTAACAAAGAAGGAATATTCTTGTGTCAGTGGAAATATACTCTTGATATTTTACATGAAGTAGGTCTTAGTGGAAGCAAACCAACTGTGTCTCTTATTGAACAAAATCATCGACTTGGCCTTGCTGATGGACCAGACATCGATAATCCTGAGAGATATAGAAGATTGATTGGAAAATTGATTTATTTAAACATTACAAGACCAGATTTGAGCTATGCTATTCATGTCCTTTCTCAATTTATGCAGCATCCTAAGCAAGTTCACTATGATGTTGTCCTACGAGTGTTAAGGTATGTGAAACAAAATCCTGGACAAGGACTCTTATTGAAAAGCGCATGTGATCTCCAAATCCATGCATATTGTGATTCAGATTGGGCTTCTTGTCCTCTTACAAGAAGATCTGTTACTGAATATTTTGTTATGTTGGGCACATCACCTATTTCATGGAGAACAAAGAAACAGGTCACAGTTGCACGTTCTTCTGCTGAAGCTGAGTATAGAGCCATGGCAGCTGCTACAGCAGAGTTAATTTGGTTACAAGGTTTTCTTGCGTCTCTTGGTGTGCATCATACAATACCCATGCAGTTATTTTGTGATAATACAGCAGCTCTCCATATTGCTGCTAACGCCATTTTTCATGAACGGACGAAACACATTGAGCTGGACTGCCATTTCATTCGAGAACATATTCAGGCGAACACCATTGCTACATCCCATGTTCGCTCCTCCACTCAGCTGGCAGATCTTTTTACAAAAGCTTTGGGACAGTCTGTCTTTCTTGCATTCCTTCCCAAGTTGGGCATTTCATTCTTACATGCTCCAACTTGAGGGGGAGTGTTGAAGAAGATATCATCTTATCATGTAAATATATTCAGTTTATGTGTAATCTTAGTTGTTTCCTAGTTGTTAGTTTGTATTCCTAGTTTCTTAGTGTAGTTACCATCAGATCCGATGCTGTTACCAGCTTGTGCGTCCAGCTTTCTAGCTCATGCGATCAGCTCTTAGTTTTTAGGATTGTTAAGTTTGTTTATAATTCTTTGTATTTTTGTTCAGCCTATTTAAAAAGGCAACCATCAATATATCAAAGTAACATATTGATACCATATTTTATCTCATTAGAGTATAATTTCATCTAATGGTGGAGATTTACGAAATAAAATGAATTGTTTTATCCCTTTCTTTCTCTTTATCATCTCCCACACCCTTTCTCTCTCCTCCCCTCTCTCTCCCACCATATCATACAACAAGAACAAGGAGTAGGTTACGCTTAGGAGTAATGGTTTCACAACACCAACTTGAACTGCAAATTGAGCAATTAGTATCACTCTCATCTTCTCCATTATTTGGTTTTCTTAACCGTGAATTGGTTTGTGCTTTGGAATACTATCACACAGTTGGTGCTCTTGTATTTATAATATGTGAATTTTACAATATACATCAGGGAATCTAGGAAATTATATATAAATGTTTTTCTCTTTCATTAAAAAACAAAAATAGGTTGCTTTGTCCCTAATGCGTAATTTTACTCTACCGTTGGCAATTGGTGTGGAGAGAACACACGAGAAAGGGGAGGACAGTTGAGCCAAGTGGATATGGTGCGATAGAGAGAAAAGATGTGGGAGACACTCGAGAGAAAGAAAATTTATTTTATTTCGCAAATCTCCACTGTTGGATGAGATTATAATATAACGGTGTTGAAAAGGATAGGTAGAATAAAGGTAAGTAGAATAATTTATCTCATATTATTTATATATCTAGATTGATTTCAAAAATATTAATATTAAAAATTTGGATACTAATTTTATTTATAATAAACTTTATTATATGAAAATATGTTAACTTTAATAAAATTATGATACATTTAAAATTTAAAATAAGAATTATTTGAATATATATATTTTTATAATATCGACACGCTAAGTAAAGTTAACTCGACAATCAAAGGAAGCCCAAAGTTAATAATATAATAGTTCCACAACGTACATTTTTAACTCTTATTTATTAAGAGATAAATTACACTTTCTTTTGAGATCGGATATTTATGTTATTTTTTTTATGAGGTAGGATTCTTTGATACCCGTGTTAAATTTAAAGTTTGACACTTTATCTGAGAGCCGTTAGATAAAAAAAATCAATAGTGTCACATGCTTACAAATTAGACTCGTTGATCTTTTTTGATCTAACGGCTTTCATATGAGGTGTCAAATTTAAAATTTAACACCGGTGTCAAAGGATCCTACCTTTTTTTCATTTCTACTTTGTTAATTTTTATGCAAACTGTTAAATTATAATTTAAATCAACGCTATATTTTTTTCTTCTATTAATGTTTTTGTTTGTTGAGATTATGATCTAATCATGAATAGAAATAAGTAAATTAGCCATAAAAGAAATAAACAAAAAAACAAGGAAAAAACATTATCGCGTTTCTTTATATTTTCACTCTTTCTTCAATCCTCAAATTGTATTTTATCCTTCTAAATCACTACATACATGTTCCTTACTCAACCCTCGTTATAATGCATCAATGATATCCTTTGCTACTATCCTCAACCTCAAACTTTCTAGGTTTGTAGGAGGTAATATCACCAGCATTGAAATTTCTTCAATTGCTGAAACCAGAGCTCCGCAAGCTACCTATCCTTGGCTTTCCCTTTTTAAAGAAAAAGGTTCATCCCACATTCATGTTTCAACAACTTATTATTTTATCACATGATTTTATTATATTAAATAAATTACTTTGTAGAGAATAAATTCTACAAAGTAATTTCTCACTGTTGCTTCTGAATATATACTCTCTAATTAGAATTAGAAATATGACTTGAATAAATGCATGACTCGCCAATTGGTAAGTTCATCATTAACATTATGATGTCTTTCAGAGTAAATGCAATAAATACTAGTAAATAAAATTCACCTGTTTTAAAAAGTGGGGTGAGAGTAATTGTAAGCTATTATGCTGAATGATACTTAATTTATATATTTTCATGTTTATAGTAATTTCTTCGAATATTAAGAAAGCCCAACAAGAGAGTGGAGCGAGCATGTGGAATAGCAGCTGTTTTTCATTTTTACCTATGAAGTAGATAAAGGAATGTTCACCCCCTTTCATTTTAGTAATATATGGACTTCAGAATGAAAATGTAAAAGCACAGTTCACGTTAAATCAAAATTAAATCCTTAAACCCCAATTTTTTCTATCAAACAGGATGGTAATCTTACAGTCTAGAGAGCAAAAGAATTATGAAAAGATCAAAAGAATCGTTACAAATTAGATGGTCATTAGAGAGCAATTATGCAAAAACATGTAAAGAATGAAAACTAAGCTAAACACAACAAAATATATTTATATTTTCCTAATCACTGTCAATCATACACTCAAATATTTTTACTTTCGTGCCACATACTAAAGAAACCTAATTCTTACAAGTTCATGTCAAAACTGAGGTAAATGTAGGGCTCAGACGGCCAATAAAATTGAGGGGGGCAAAGTTTTTAACAATAAAATAGCAATAAATTAATAAAAAAAAAGGATTATATAGGTGAAGATTTATGAAGGCACAGTGAACCCGCCAATATCACTCCTCCATACCATAAGGGCCACCGTCAAATTCACTTCCCAGTCACTAATATATAATCTTCCACCGTACCTTTATGCAGAGGTACTAACACAATTCAGCACAGAGAACACCCTAACCCCTTTACCATCTCTTTCCCCCTCTGTTTCCGTTACCTCTCCCACCACTGAAACCATTTGAAAACCTATTATTCTGACTTGAAAATCTACCATTCCTGCCACCTGAAAACCTATTCCCACCACCAAATCTGCCTCCTTTTGATTGGTCTCTTTCTTGCAAAAGTGGCAATGCTTTTAACACCTCTAGGCTTACATTAGCAGCATTCTGCTGACCTGAAGAGGAAAAATAATTGAATTGAAAATATTAACAAGATGAAAGGTGCATGTAGAATTCATACAACGATATGCTAATTTTCAAACAGCGTCCAGGTGATAATTAAAGATTGAAAGACAGCAATGACAGTTTAGGGATGCTGTACATAATATAAAAAGAGTGGAGAGAAAAGGAATTTTTTAAAACGATTAAAATCTAAAATCTTAAGTCGACAATTGAGTAGAATTTTACCAGTAAGAAATGAATCTAAATCTTTGGCTGGTACATCAAAAACAGCACCATTTCCATCTGCAGTGAGAGTAAGACCCTGCACTGCATCAACCTTCTCCTCAGGCACAAATCTCCTCAGAACTCCAAATGCAAAGCTGCCAATAGCCCAAAAAAATACAAGTCAAACACCGCCAAACAAATGACAAAAACTCTAAGCAACTGATACTTTAAATACAGTTGATAACTTAAAATTAAAGAAATAAGTCTACACTCAAAACTAATTATATCCAAACCACCAGTCAATAAAAGTATCAGGTTCCTAGATACTGATATGTAGTCAGATGTCCCTAATTAAATAGTGTAAAGTTCTCACGATGGGGTGAAGATAGGTTTTCCAATCTCAAGATGTAATGTAACATAATTCTCCATGGAAGTCAGAAGTGATCTTTTCTTTATCTCCGTAAAACCCTGGACAAAATAAAATTTTCCCGAATCAGAGAAAAATACTGAAGATGAAGGATTTGATATATTGAAAAAAAAAACTGTAAGGAAAAGACATGGAGAAAATCTGTAAGAACATTTGACTCACAACAGCCTTGGCAAGAGCTTTTGCAAGTAACTCAACAGCTGATAAACCAGAGTTGTTTAAAAGCTCCTCAGCAGCAGACTTGAATGCAGGAATAACACTGCATTTATGAAATATGTCAACATCAACAGCAAAAGACAGTTAAAGACATTTAGCAAATAACAGGAAGCATACCTATCAGACACTTGGGTAATCATATCAGCAGCTTCCCCACCAACAGCATTGGCAATATCACCAGGCTGAGGAGCAGATACGTGTTCAAATTTCACACCCGATTCTCTTTCAATTTTAGATATATTCGACCTTCTGGGATCAAAAAGCATAACAGCAACTCCAGTATTACCTGAAGATAACCAAACCCAATTATGTAACCTGAAAACTTGATAAGACAAATATACCAATCCTATTATAAACAAATAATAAAATTCTAAATATACCAGCTCTTCCTGTGCGCCCAGAACGATGAATATAGGCTTCTACATCCCGTGGAGGCTCACACTAAATCAAATACAATTCAGCATATCAGATCAAAACACAAAAAAATGAATCATTATATGTATATGAACCAGAGTACCTGGATAATCAACTGAACATCATTAATATCTAGACCCCGAGCTGCCACATTTGTGGCCACCAATGTCATGAATTTCCCTGACCTAAAACCGGACAATGTAACCTGCAAGGGACCGGACAAAATTAAGAGAAAACAAAACAGAAAGAATGTACTCCAAAAAATATCACAAAGAAAACTGGTTATTCCGAAAGGAAAACGAAATTTCAAGACAGTTCACCCTTGCAACATCCATAGAATGAAAATCTCCAGAACTAATAATCATATCAAAAGTAATATCACGCAGCAGCTCACCTCACGTTGTGACTGTTGTATGTCACCATGGAGAGCTCTTGCTCCAGGCAACAACCCCGCAAGCTCAGAGGCAGACTCTTTTTTCTCAGCAAATATAATTGTCCGGCCTCCACTGAAACAAAAAACATGCCAAACAAAAAACAATTATAAAGATGCTAAACGCATATCATATTGAGAAGTAGAAATCACAAATAGAGTAATAAAAATCACCTGCTATAACAGCGAATAATGTCGGGGATAAGTTGGGACCTGGCAGTACTATTACATGGAAGAACAATATGCCTCACATTAGTACTAGCCTTCATTTTCTCATTCCCAACAAGATCAGCAGTTTTCTTATCTGGTTTCAGAAATTTCGCAGAAATCTGAGAACAGAAAATTGTTGAGCAAATTAAAAGTCCATATGAATAACACCCCAATCGGCACAAATAATGAACTTAGAACTAGAAATGAAAACATAGAATCATACTTGCTTAACCCAGCTTGGCAAAGTAGCACTGAAAAGAAGTGTCTGAACTTTTCTAACATCTTCTACCTTACCTGCAAAAATCAAATAAGAGACCATTGTAATCCTGAAAATATATTACGATCCAAAAAATAGATCAAACATGTAACCTTGAGTGATCTCGAGTACAAAGCATCATGCATTAGAAAATAAGGAAACATTTAGAAAGAACGTTTTCTAGAATTTGAAAAAAAAATCTAGTCTAATCAAATTGCAACATTGCTCCAGGTTATCAAAACCACAAAGGATACATGGAAAAGAAAAATGAGCTGACATTGATAATGTGCAACACTTCAATCCAACAATCAAACAAAGTAAAACCTCATCATCAACAATGTATTTTCACAAAAAGATGACAGTATTCAAACTTATTCATGCAAAAACTCAAGTACAACTAGCAAAACCAAAATCAACAATTAAAAAGCTACAAAAAAAAAAACAATATCATAGGAAGTTAAATAGTGACATGTAACCTCAGTTAACTCAGATATACATAATACATACAAAATTAAAATTTAGGAAAAGAAATCACATACCTAGAATGAGCTCAACATCTTCAACAAAACCCATCCTCAGCATCTCATCTGCCTCATCAAGGACACGGAACTTCAGTTGGCTCAGGTCAATATTTTGCCTCTCTATATGATCCTACACAAAATCAATAATAGTTTTAAATACACAAAGTAAAACTTGTTCGATCTACCTGTGAAATAATTCACAGTCATATCAAGAAAATAAAAAAGCAGCAACATGCAACAAAGGACTATTATGAGAGTAATTACCTTTATACGACCTGGTGTTCCAACAACAATATCAACACCTCTTTTGAGCTTCATCTCTTGAGCTTGATACGGAGCTCCACCATATAAACAGCAAGAAGCCAGTCCCATTGACGAACCATAAACTTCAAAATCAGCATGCACCTAATGTACAACACGCCACAGCCGAAAAATACACATGAATGAAATGGCAAACTAAAATAATCCAGCAACCAGATCATGTGTTGCGAATTGTACCTGATTAGCCAATTCCCTAGTAGGTAAAAGCACAATGACACTAGGAGACCTCCCATAGCCAACCTTTCTCACCGCTTTAGCTGGACCATTTGTTAGAGACTCTAATATGGGTAACACAAAGGCCAGAGTTTTACCCTGCATTTTCCCAAAAAAGCAAAAGATATCAGACTACAAAAGCAGCACACAGTTTTAACTACCCTTGAAAAGATATCAAAAGGGACACAATATGAGAAAACACACTCACGCAACTTGAAAAGTACTTTTCCAAAATTGTATTAAACTTTTCAAACTCCAAAGCCACCCCACTCTAAATGTTGTTATTTTTTTACTTTTTTCTGTACATTGTTATTTATTTTAAACTAAAGAATATCCATCCCTTATTAATTTAAAAAATAATAATTCAATTCAAAATAAACCCATTATTAATTTGTCATTAAATTAGCCTATAAATATCAATCAGTCTCAAGATTTTATTCACCATATTAATTAAATTAATATCTATGAATATTAATTTGAATGCATTTTAAAACACAGAGAATTACGAATAACGAACATACCTGACCGGTACGAGCGCGACCAACCAAATCGCAACCATCAAGGACGATATCGAAGGTCATGGCCTGAATCGGAAACAACGATTCGATCCCTTTCTCCTTCAGCTTCGCCTTCAACGGCTCTGATATCCTAAACTTGGAAATCGCATTCCGATCCTCCTTCTTCACAACCACTTCTTCCTCTTCCTCCTCAAACTTCGCTTTCTTCTTCTTATTCTTCTTCTCTTTCGATCTCAAACCTTCCTCGTTGGGATCCACGAGCTCCGAGCTTGTCTCGCTCTTCACCTCCTCCCCTTTTTCATCTTCATCCGAACCCTTCTTGCGCTTCTTGCTCTTGTTCTTCGAACTCAGCAAGTCCAGTTCGGGAACGGCGTCGTTTGGAGCCTGGTTCTTATTCTTCTCCTCCTTCTTCTTCTTCTTCGTCTTGTCTTTGGAGCCCTCGCTCGGAACGGCGTCGTTGGAGAGAGGAAGGAGAGAAGGCATGGCGGAGAACGAAACGGTGCGTTCGGTCGTTTGTTTCGGTTTAACTCCTGCTTCGGCGGCAAGCGAGTTGCAGCAGCGAAAGCAAGGAGGAGAAAGAGGGAGAGCTAGGTTTGGGGTTTTCGGGTTATTTAAGGTTTTTGGGGGTGTTGGGGTGGAAGCGTTCTCCGCCGTTGGATGCTGAAACCCTATTCTTACTTGGACGCTTCCCGTGTTTGATTTATAACCTGAAAGGCTGAAACAGTTAATGGTGTCTCACGTGAGTCACTCACGTTTTCAGTTCATAGTGTGGAATTTTTTATTTTTTATTTTGTAATAATAGTGTGGAATTTAGGTCAGGGGTGTTTTTTATGACCCGTTAAGTTTTTTATTTTGGGCCAGTACAAGGCTGAATACTTAGCTTAGGCAAGCCCTTAGGCTTTATTCTGCGGGCCCATGTCACTTTTGCTGTGTAAGTAAAAAAAATTTACGTACAAAAATAGGGATAGAGCCCGAGGAATTATAAAGAATAAACTAAAGCTAAGAAGGGTGTATTGGATTGGAATTTCAAAAAAAAATTAATGGATTGGAATTTCAAAAAAAAAAATTAATGGATTGGAATTGGACAAAAAATCCAGTGGTATTCATTTAGGATTTTAATGGATTGAAAAAAAGTCATGTGGTATTCGATTAGGATTTTAAAAGATTATTTTAGAATCCGTCTAAATCTGTTGGTATTCAATCAGGATTTTAAACAATGGAATCACAATCTTGTAATATTCAAAAATCCGACGATTTTAATTGATTTTCTATTGGTGTGGATTTCGTGAGACTTTTTAGTAAAAAAATATAAATAGGATGTCTCTCTCACAATCTCACCCTAACCTCTAGGATTTCTTGAGATTTATCTATTGTAGTGTTTTCTTCTTCCTTTGGCACGTTAACCCGCTCGAAATCGGGTTCCGCCATGGGAGTTTCATCAAAACTCAAAAATAGCATATTTTTGAGCGATTTTCATTACAAAACACAGAAACAACAAACTAACGAGATTAAAAACAACATATTTTTGAGTCATTTTTTATAAATTTTGGAAGTTTAAAAAGTTATTTTTAAAGCTACGGTCGCAGTTTTTCTTGGCACAAAAAGATGTGATTTTTATACTAAAAACAATATAAAATAGTGGAAAAATAACATGGAATTAAAACCCTCAAATCAATTTTCGTTTTACATCAATGAAACAATATCAATTTAAAGAAAGATTGAAACTTTCATAGTATGAACCCTATATTCGTAACAATACATTCATGAACGAAATTTCTTCATTATAGGAAAGGATTTCAAACAATTTTTGAGTTAATAGATAACTAAAAAATTATTTTTCAAAAGTCCCAAAGCAATTTAAAAATCTGAGAAATTTGAGAAATTTTCTAAACTTTCATGTAATAAAATCCAAAATTTCAGGTTTGAAATTTTCTTAGAATATTCAATGAAAATATGCATATGATATATGGTTAGAAAACTCTCATCACATAGAACAAAAACCCCAACGTTTTCAAGATCAATTGCAAAAAATTCGAAACAAAAATTTATCATGAACTTTAGGTTCTATATGCAAATTTAGAATTATTTTAATAATTAAAAAATGGGTTTTATAATCATATATGTAGGGGTGTTAATATGGGTTTTGACACGCGGATCGACCCGCGACACGACACGAAAATTCGTGTTCGGGTTGACCCGTAAAAAAATTCGTGTCGTGTTCGTGTTGAAAAAAATGACACGCAAAAAATTCGTGTCGTGTTCGTGTTTATGAATTCGTGTTCGTGTCGACCCGTATTATTTTTAATTATTATTTTATTATTATTATTATTATTATTTTTTATTTATTTTCGATCTATTTTTTTAATTTTTTTTGTCCATTACCGTTTTGTCCCCTATTTTGCGTGTTATTCGTGTCGTGTCGTGTCAACCCGCAAAAAATTCGTGTCGTGTCAGTGTTGAAGATTTTGACACGAATGAAAATTCGTGTCGTGTTCGTGTTGATGTATTCGTGTCGTGTCGAATTCGTGTCGTGTCAAATTCGTGTCGTGTCAACCCATATTGACACCCCTACATATATGCATAGCTTTGATACGAAATGAAGAATATAATTTTCAACCCATTGGTCAAACCCAAGAGCATGAACGACAAAACGTTATTGCGTGGAGAACTAGTATAACATTAGATATGTGAAGAGCTGATACTTAGTAATTTTGAATGTTTGTTAAAAATTATAGAGTAAACCCTTTTTGGTTCCTAACAAAAAACACGGTCCCCACTTTAGTCCCTTACAAAAATAAATTAGTTAGTTAGTCCCTAAAAAATTCAAAATGGACCCATTTTAGTCCTTTTGAGGGACTAATATTGGTCTTTTTTGAATTTGTGAGGGACCACGATTTCAACTAAATGGGTACACTTTGAATTTGTTAGGATTAACTGACTAATTTATTTTTGTAAGGGACTAAAGTGAGAACCGTGTTTTTTGGTAGGGACCAAAAATGGTATTTACTGAAAATTATATTATGTTTTACTGATTGAGAAAATTATATTAAATTTTACTTTTTTATTAATTTTATTGCATTTCTTTGTTATTTTTTTTATTGACTCTTGTAATTTTGAATGTTTGTTAAAAATTCATACGATTTTTTAAAATCTTATAAATCCATATTGTCCTTTCAAATCTTATAAATTCTATTAAAATCCTTTAAAACCAATCTTATGAAATCTTGATTGTAAAAAAAATCTTTTAAAAAAGTCTTTAAAGTCCCTCAAATTCTAAAATGTCTTTTAAAATCTGTAAGATTTTTTATCTAAAAAAAATCTTTTAAAATCCTAATTCAATACACCCCTTAAGTTGCAGTATGCAACCTAGGTCCCATATTAAATTGGGTTAAAGTATATTAACTAATTGGTCAAATATTTATGTAAAGTAGTGTTTCATTCGTTATATTAAGTTTTAGTAATATCCAAAAAATTATCTTTAACCTTCTCTACAAGGGATAGAATATTGTAACAACTAATTAATGTTACTACCATTGTTACTAACAATCAATTTCATTGTTAGATCAATTATGTTGATCTAACGGTTATATTTATTTCTATCTTTGTATGGTTATGATTTCTCATATTTAATGCATAACCATACAAGGGTGAAAATAAATATAAAGTAATAAATATAAGAAATTATAACCATACAAAGATGGAAATAAATATAACTGTTGGATCTACATAATCGATCTAACAGTGAAATTGATTGGTAGTAACACTAATTAGTTGTTACACCATCCTTCCTCTCTTTACAAAAGATAAAGAAAAAATACTTTATTTATAATTAATGTTATCGTATATTAAAACATATATTTAGGATTGGGGTTGAAAAAAAAAACGGAAATGAATGATGGAATTAGATAATGTTATAAAGCTCATAAAATAAAAAAAATTTAAAATTTTTTTTGTATAAGTATTTTTTTTTTAATTGTATTATTATTTAAACACATTAGCCTTCCAATCCACCATAAAACAAGGTCGATTTATATTTTCAACCCATTTTTCAAAGCAGATGGACCCATTTTTAATTCCAATTAACCTCTATTCACATGGGGTAAGATACAAAGTTTTCAATGTTGATAAATTAGGGGATTTGGTTAGTTATATTACACATAGCCCACAAAAAGGATAACTAGCTCTGATATCATATTGTAAAAGGGTTTTATTAATGTTATGAAACATAATTTAAGTGTTGTTTTTAACACATACAATAAAAGAGAGAGAAAGTGGAATGATGAAAGATTAAGAAAAATATGTGGACCCCACCTCTTTAATGTGTGTGTAGGAAAATGATGTTATATTATGTTACATGATAAACATAAAACCCATTGTAAAAAGACAAGTAAAAAGGATAGAAGATGACTCAGAAAGTGTGATGATTCAGTTATGGTAGCCTACATCCATTGTTTTCTCCCCCTCTCAATTATAGTCAAGGAGAGGACTTTCCTTAGGGGATTTTTGGTAGAGGAGAAATTTTTTTTTTGTCTGGGAATCTCTATTTTCAAAAATATAATTTTTACATTCAGTTTATGATAATATCTGAAAATTTAAAATTTATAAAAATTCAGTTTTCCGGAAATCTTAGAAAATGACGTGTACCAAATGCCCCCTAATTAATCAGAGAAATCAAACGATTTTTTGCCTTTTTTATAGGCTATATATGATACATCTATGGATGTGGATTAATTTGATTATCCAGCTTCTAATACGTTCCACCAAAAGAGAGAAGCTTACATTATTTTCCTGATCCGTAATTGCTTACATAGCTACCAAAGAATCTCTCTCAACCTCAAGTCGATGTATGTGTAAACTCCAAGCAAATTATAAAACACTTGAGGATTGCCCATAACTCTGCCATAAACGGCGAACAAGAGCCAATATTATAAGCAAAGCCAATAATTCAGTTGTCATCTCGAACGAATCCTCCACAAGTAGCCTTGTCATTTAGTTATTTCATTGCTCCATCACATGAGGTATAGGTTTCCAACACATGTTCCTTATGTTGGAACTTGGATAGTTGTGCTTTTGATGTGTCTCTATGGCTACGCTATACTCTGCAATGTAGTTAGAAATAACAAATGTAGGGTTAATTAGGTGCATGAATTATTATTACGCCACAGCCATGTGAACCAGCAAGCCATAATAAAAATATCTTTCCACTCCAACACTTATGGATGGTGCCACATTCCATTGATATTACAATGTAAACAATCTGGATGATTGAGAGTTAAAAAATCTTTAGGGAGTGAGGACAATCTCGTAGAACATGTAAAATAGCTTCCACAGCATAATGACAAGTATGGCACCACGGACTTCCTCCCCATCTAGATGAAATACTTTTTGTTATCCACATGAAGCTACGTCGACGTTAGCGTCCATGCCACTTCCAAATTGGATTAGGTCTAGAGGTTTGAGTTATTATTATATTTTGTAAGATGAAGATTTCCTGTTAGTGTGTTTATGGCTGTTTGAGTAATCGATGTAATTTTGAAGTATTATGAATTTAAAATTTTTTTCAAACGTAACTATGTTAGACACACGAGCACCCCAAAAATTAAGCAAATAAAACTTGTCTTGTTCCTAAAGGCGGAGTC